TATTTCTAATTGGCCATTCTAAAGAAACATCCATGACTTTCACATCGCTAAGGAAGAGCAGTACAGTTTTGTTCCTTCAACAGCTAATCTACTATGCCCGAGCAGTACAGTTTTGTTCTTTCATCACCTGATCTACTATACCCATCAAGATTGCTGATCGATTTTTATACGTACGCGTTTCCCTGAAGCTCCTTCCTGAATGGATTGCCTTATCATCATTTCAATATCATCATTCTCAGGATTCAAATGGTATTTAACGGCTCGGCAAACGTACGCGTTTCCCTGAAGCTCCTTCCTGTATGGATTGCGTTATCATCATTTCAATATCATCATTCTCAGGATTCAAATGGTATTTAACGGCTCGGCAAACTTCGTTGGCTGGAACGAAACGGAAGGCGAACTTCGGCGTAACTGGGGATCGAAACGGTTGCGATTCTTGGCTAAGAAGTACAGTCTCAACCACTGCCGAGCTCTTAATGAAGGTGATTTTCCATTTTTTCTTTGAATATTGTGCTTTCGATTCATTGACTCTATTTAATGTTGTTTTCTTTTTATTGTTTTTTTTTGATTTATTCTATTTTCTATTTAGTGTTTTTCAGCTTTAGCGTTTGTATGTATATTCATCTTTTTTTTTTGTATGCAAGGATTTTCGTTGTCGTTGAACCAGAGAGAACTGGCGGTGCACTTTTCAAACGTAAATTATTGTATCAGATCCAGATTAATATGCCCTGCTTCGCGCTGATTGCGTGTTTATAACCATTGTGAAACATCGGTAAAAGACCCTGGGCCCTATGATCTTTGTGTATGCAACTGCACCAAATTTACAGTTGTTGCCTTCCCACAGGATCCACTTCGTAAACAGGTTGTCTAAGGAAAAGATGCGTTGTTTCATTGTTGAGCTATCTGGTTAGGCCGAGCAAAGATTGCTTTTTGTTCTTGGCCGGAACTCTTGATTTCAGCGCGGTCTATTGAACCTGCTGTGCGCTATGATTTTTTTGATCTTCCGGGTCATTCGTCAGCTGACACCGAATGG